TTAGGGCGGGGGGTGGAATGAAGAATTTTCCGTCAACCCTTCCTTGAGTTCAAGTGGTGTCGAACGAGGCCCTAAGTCTGTTCAGACTCTTCAAACCAGTTTATTTTTGGAAACTCGAATACAACACACAATTATTTTTGGAAACTCGAGTACAGCACACAATTATTTTTTGGAAACTCGAATACAACACAATTATTTTTGGAAAGTCGAATACAACACACAATTGACGAGTCTGCAGAGAACACGTCTGAACTGAACGTGTGCAAAATTGTGCAGGCTGTTCGGTTGACGTGCAGCCAACACCAACACGACCCCTCTGTGAAGAACCCTTTTTTTTTCTTTTTTTTGACGGTTGGCTCTGTGTCTTGAAAGTTGCACAGGCCCACATCACGCCCTTTGTCTCCTTCATCTTCTTCTCTCTTTAGCTTTCGGATTTTTTTAATTTTTTTTTTCATTGCAATGGACTTCCGTCTTTATCGCCATAGTCCTCGCAGTAATTCATCACATGATGTACATCTACCGGCTTCCCCTGAACATAACTCAAGTGTGTTGTATTCGAGTTTCCAAAGAAATGAAAATTTGAACAGAACACATATGCGTTGTATTAAAAAACAAGGGCCGTTCAAACACAATGCGCATATCCGTTGTATTCCGGTAGAAAGAAACCTATGCGTTGTACATGTGCAAGGAACATGAATATGGACGAAGCACAGAAATCCAGAATGCAAAATCACACTGAAGTCCAAGTAGTCCAAGCCAAAGCAGATAGCACAATGGAACCGAGTAACCATCCAATTGAGAATGATACAGAAGAATCGTGAGTCAATGTCCATGCCCAACAGGGCAACACCAACAGCATAACCCAAATGTAGCTCTCTCTTGTGAACGGCGCCAGGCGCCCTATCTACTCTACAGCCTAGCCTACAACTACAGCAATGAAAGCAACCAGACAACTTGACTACCAGCGAGTGATGATGCCGACTTCCACCTCCACCAGGTACGTGTCCTCTTTACCCACCCTCTCCCTTGTACCCACACAGCGCCCTTCACCTCCGAAGAACCACCTTCGCCCTTCACCTCCACTGCACCCTCATGCGGCCCGGCTATGGCCGCCAGTGCCCTGTGTGCAGGCAGTGCCCTACCGCCTAGCGCTGTCCTGCTGCCCTCAGCCTTAGCGCAGCGCAGCATGCATGCAACGCAGCAGCGTGCCGGCCTTGCTCGCAATGGCCAAGATCCCTGCCCACTCGCCCTGCTTGCCTATATGCCAGTGCTGCGTGTGGGCGGCCTTCCTTCAGCCTGCGACTGGGCCCCAGTGGCTGAACCCAGGCCCATTACAGTTGGGGCCCGGGAGATGCAGTTGTGCCTCTCTCGTCAAGGCCTGCGGCCAGATTCAGACAGTGGGCCGGTTTCCCTTTGCATTTTCGGCCTCTATACCCAGCGTGCATTGTCGGCCTCACGTTCAAGTGCCCAGGGCCTAACTAACTCAGAGGCCCTGGGCATTTCAGCATT